TATTTTATGAAGCTGTGCTTTGTTAGTTGTCGCAAAGGCTCTCTCAACGGCGTCGTTCAAGTGATGAGTATTCTGGTATCGTTCATGTAATAAAAGGTAGATCGTAAAGAAATTTATTTTTATTAAAGTAAATTGACATAAAAAAATAATTCAATTAAACACACCTGTTTTTCATTATTTTTTAATAAAGTAAATCGAAAAATGCAAAACTAAATGAAGTAGTTTTCTTTTTGTTTCTTTTTCTTTTTTTTCTTTTTAATAAAGTAAATCGCAATGTAATTGATTTTCGAATAAAGTAAATCTTAATTCTAAAACATTTTTATAGAAAATAATTTCATAATTTACTTTACTAAAATAATTAAAAACAAAAACTGGTTCAAATTTTACATAACGCCTTTTTAAATGCGTTATTTGAAGTAAAATATTCACTAAATAAGGTTTTAATCCTTAATAAATTACTTTTATTTGGTTATAAAAAATAATGTTTTTTCTGGTGCTGAGTTGTCTCGGTTCTGAGTTGTCTCCAGTCGGCGCTTTTCAGTCGGCAGTGTTCAGTCGGCGGTGTAGAGTCGGATATGTTGAGTTGTCCCTTTCCGATGCTATCACACTTTGTTTGATCTTAATACCGAGGCGATGACTTCAAGCAGATGCTAAAACAATTCTGATTTCTTCTGTTGTATAAGTGGGGAGTTTGCAACAACGAATAACAACAGATCCATGATTTTTTTGCCAAAAAAGTTTTATCATGTTTACTTTGAAGGGCAATCAGGACACGTCGTGGTCACCACATATTGTTCAGTCGGCGGTTTTGAGTCGGCGGTGTTGAGTTGCCTCTTTCCGATGGTATCACACTTTGTTTGATCTTAACACCAAAACAATGACTTCAAGCAGAGGATGCAAAAACTCGAGTTCTTCTGTTATATGTGGCGAGTTTACAGCGATCAGGGCACATCGTGGGTATCACAGATTGTCTGCAAAAACATATCAGGAGCAGTGAACTAAGGGTCCTCGAACTTTGCTTAAGTTTGACATTTCGATAAATTGGCCGAGGCACCCAGACAATAAAGAATGCCTTTTACCCCATCCTCCTTACTCTCCTGATATTGCTCCATCTGACTATCATCTTCTCATATCATTACAATTTTTAGAGGGAAAACAGTTTATTTATTGTGAAGAAGTTAAAAATGATATTGTGCGTCTCTTTGCATCGTAACCTGAAGAATTCGAGGGATCAACAATTTGCCAAAAAGAAAAGTTTTCACGTTAAAATGCGATGTAGTTTCGTCATTTTGGTGCTCTTTTATAAAGTGAATCTGGGCGATCAGGACACGTCGTGGGTATCACATATTGTCTGCAAAAACATTTTTCAGGAGCAGTGGACTAGGGGTCCTCGAAATTTGCTTAAGTTTGACATTTCGATGATTTGACACGAGCCACCAAATCACATCGTCGACTGCTTTAATTGTCATTGCTGGCACCAGCAAGAAGAAACGATCATCTATAATTCTTTTCCTAAGTCAGCTATGTGTACCACACTCCAATAAAGTCCCAATTCCTTTCTTCTAAAGGCTTTTACGTTCATTGATATTGAAGAATTGGATCATGATGATGGGAATGATCTCATCGTTATGGGCGAGAATGACGATGATAATGATTTTGCGGGATTATCATCTGAACCGTTCATTTAACCAAGAAGATCTGAGCGACTTAATCAGGGATTTGAGTTTATCAAAAGAATCAGCAGAAATGTTAGCTTCAAGACTGAAGAAGAAAAAAAAAATCTCCTTAAGAAAGGAACAAAAGTTGCATTTTATCGCAATAGAGACGCTGAATTTATTTCCTACTTCAATTGCGGTACCCAACCAAGAGAATTGCTTTCAAATATTCATCAGTCAATCTCGTTCGATGTTCTGACTTTACTTACTTAATTTTTGAAAATGTTTGCTCAAAGACATGAACTGTTACAAACGCTGATGCCTACCAGAGGCAAATTTCTTCAACTTTAAAAATTACTAGCAGCATGGCCCGGCGTTGCCCGTGCTTGATTCAAAAATCCTACGACTCATACAGCAATCGCTATCACTTGACTTAAAATATTTTTGCCCTTCCTTGCCTTTAAAGGAGTGCCCTTTGCTGTGCTGATGTTGCTACATGCCTTAATTCTTGCCTATCCCACACTGCCAATTTTTGCTAAGCTCTATACTAATAATTAAATCTGTTACGAAAAAAGAACTAAACAAAGTGAACACAAAACCATCAGCTTTAAAAAAGGACTCGTAACTGGAAAAACAGACTGAAAAAAGAATGTTAACAACAAATACTTTTTCACACCCAACCCAGTTCTGCGGAATCAAAATCAACGTTGAGTTTAAGCAAGCGAATGAGCCAATTGGAGTAAAGTGCCATGCAGATTTAAATTTTTCCCACTTGTGACGAATGCAGCTATCAATTTTTTTTTGTATGATAGCATGCTAGTTAACATTCGTGTCAGTCAGCTGTTGCCTTTCACGCTGGCCAATAGAATTTTCCTGCCTATTCGTGGCAGCCAGCTAGAGGCTTTCACTCTGGCCAGTAGAAAATGGCCGCAAACTACATGAAAACTGCCGTAGAAGCATGAAAAAATTATTTCCACTATCGGTGGGAGTTGAGAAATGCAAAGTCGGTCTTGGCCTTTCCCGCTAATTTGGAAGATGTGCATGTAAATTTTGGTACAAGTCCGTCGAAAATTGCGACCGTGCATTCGTTACACACACACACACACACACACACATCCTGCCTTTAATAGACAGAGATCTATTAGGTAAGCAGCGATAAAATGTAAGAAGTTTTCCTTCTCTGTGCTTCACTTCAAAAATGCTCCTTGATTAAGGTTTTAATTCTTAATAAATTACTTATGAAATGGTTATGTTTTTTTTTTCTGGTGCTGAGTTGTCTCGGTCCTGAGTTGACGCGGCGTTCAATCGGCGTTGTTGAGCTGGCGGTGTTGATCTGACCCTTCCCGCATTCCCAGTCGATGAGGCGACGTAAGAAACCTGAGGCAATGAAAAAGCCAGGGAACTAAAGGCAAAAAAGGCCGAACCATGCAAAAAATGTTGGTGTAATTTCAAAACAAAGGAACTGAAAATATATACCGAAACTTATGCTGGAAAGACACGGGTAATGAATCCTGTGCAAATAGTGGCGATGCTATGCCTCGATAGCTTATGACTAGAGATAATCTTACTCATTATAAAACGCAGATTGTGTGTGTGTGTGTGTGTGTGTGTGTGTCTGTACGTTTATATATTGGATCAAATTCAAACCGCGCGAATTTGCGCAGCGCAAGGAAAAAAAAATTAAAAAAATAATTCGCAAGTTTGCGCGGTTTGAATTTTTTTTCCCTCATACCATTAATCATTTCATTTTTTAATGTTTTAATTGTATGCAGGGTGTTTGTGTGAGTCAATATATATTGCAATAATTGTTAAATTGTACCCAGTCGACCCTGATGAGCTTGGGAACGAAACCGATTGGTCTGATCTGTAAGTGTTATTTTTGAGATGTTGAGTGTTTCCGCGTGCGTGTATTGAAATAAGAACAAACACATACGTAGGGGAAAATACTGGTATATCCGAAGAGGTATTTACAACAGAGAGATTAGTAGTCAAACGAACGCAGGTTAGTCACTAACAATCAGAAAGAGTATAAAGTCCAACTATATCTTCCGGTAGAGAGACGGAAGTGTGATGGTCACCTGATCTTCCCCAGAACTCTATAGGACTGTCCTATTAGTAGTAGAGATCAGTCCATTCTGATGAGAAGGTGGGTGTCCCCAACAGTTATCATCTCTTATTTTTTTATTTTTCATAATGCTTTTAGGAAATAATTTTTATCGATTCCTTGCAATATATATATATATATATATATATATATATATATATATATATATAATAAAAAGGTTTAAACACTAATATTCCATGGTCATAATTTATTCTATTGGAATCGTAAATACGATCCAATTCATCAGATCTACAAATTCAAAAGAAAAACAGAAAAACAACTCCGAAATAAAACAGAATTTAGAGAGAGTGTAAGTATGAGGGGAGGGAGATTAAAAGGAAAAACCGAGAGAATTTTAGGTGAGGTGGGTATATATATATATATATATATATATATATATATATATATATATATATATATATATATATATATATATATATATATAATATTACTATTCAAATGTAATAAATTATGACCATGGAATATTAGTGTTTAAGCCTTTTTATTATATATATATATATATATATATATATATATATATATATATATATATATATATATTTACATATATATATATTAACATTACAACAAACATTAAAATAATGGAAGCCTTTAATAATAAATTACAAAAATAATAATAACAATGAAAAAGCTAACACTGAATAATATTAACTACGAACACGGCCACGATGTGCTAACTGTGTTCGGAAAATAAAACATCTTTTTAATACTAGAAATATACACACGACGCACACACTTATTTAAATTGAAAAAAAAGAAAATCATCCTTGATAATGGCTAAAAGTATAGCTGAAAGCGTTCGGAATTTAGAATTTATAGTTAGAATATTTGAACAGTTTTTACACACTTTGTGCCTAATAAAGAACATCATATTTGATGTATATATATATATATATATATATATATATATATATATATATATATAGATAGATAGATAGATAGATAGGAATAGGCTCCGATAGGCTCTCTCTATATATAGATAGATAGATAGGAATAGGCTCCGATAGACTGATATGTTCATATATCTTCATATATACGCAAAGAGATTAACAAACTTTACTATATAAAAATTGAAAGATACAGAAATAGACAAACATACATACATCGTCCAAATGCATACATTTGTTCGATTGCTTGAGGACTTCAGGAAAAAATGAAAAGAGGAGTAATGACGAGAGCGAGTGAATACTATAGAGAGAGACAAAAGAAAGGGGGACTAATTAGACAGAGAGAGAAGAATGGAGAAAGAGTACGAAGTGCGTGTATATATATATATATATATATAGAGAGAGAGAGAGAGAGAGAGAGAGAGAGAAAGAGAGGAAGAGAGAGGGGATAGACTGAGAGAGAGGGGAGGGAGAGAGGGGAGAGAGAGGGGGATAGACTGAGAGAGAGAGGGGAGGAGAGATGGGGAGAGACTGAGAGAGAGAGAGAGAGGGAGAGACTGAGAGAGAGAGAGAGGGAGGGAGAGAGGGGGTCGGAGAGACTGGGAGAGAGAGGGGGGATAGACTGATAGAGAGAGGGAGGGAGAGATGGGGAGAGACTGAGAGAGAGAGAGGGAGAGACTGAGAGAGAGAGAGAGAGGGGAGGGGAGAGATGGGGAGAGACTGAGAGAGAGAGAGAGGAGAGACTGAGAGAGAGAGAGAGAGAGAGAGGGAGGGAGAGAGGGGGCGGAGAGACTGAGAGAGAGAGGGGGATAGACTGAGAGAGAGAGGAGGAGAGATGGGGAGAGACTTAGAGAGGAGAGACTGAGAGAGAGAGAGAGAGGAGGGAGAGATGGGGAGAGACTGAGAGAGAGAGAGGGAGGGAGAGACTGGGAGAGAGAGAGAGATGGAGGGAGAGAGGGGTCGGAGAGACTGAGAGAGAGGGGGGGACTGAGAGAGAGGGGAGGGAGAGATGGGGAGAGACTGAGAGAGAGGGAGAGACTGAGAGAGAGAGAGAGAGAGAGGGAGAGACTGAGTGAGTGAGAGAGAGAGGGAGAGAGAGGGGAGAGAGAGATTAAAACAAAGAGAGAAAGCTTCGTTATTTGAAAGATAAGGAACCGAGTAAAATACTGCATTCTTGAAAATCTGGAAATCGTCACCCGTGCCGCCATCCACGGTCCTTTCCCCACTATGACAACAAATCAACCCACTTATGCTTGCCGAGCAGGATTTCCCCAACCCCCATTCGCAGCTCAGGCAAACAATGATGGTGAACACACGTGATAGTTTGCCGCTAATTCCTGATTTTGGTTGGCGATTATTTATTTTATTCTTTCATAGGGGAAACTGCAAAGTACAGCGATGTCCGATTCGTTGTTGCGCGGAGAGAGCGTTGAAGGTGGGGGAAAGTTACTGAAAAACAAACCTTAATTGTTGCTTTCAACATTTGGTAAGAAGAAAACAATAACAAAAAAAAAAACTAATACCTTTAAGTTAAAATAAGACAAAGAACGAAGAGAATGGGAAAAAATGGTGGAAAATATTATTAGTTTTATTTGACGACACGCAGCTGCCGGTTAAATCAAATAAACAGGATGTTGACATTAGCTGGTGGCACGCATGCGCGAACATATTAGGCTTGGGTTGGCAGGCATTACGCACACTTTTCTAATGATGACAGGTGAAGGGACACGTTCGTCCAACATCGGCGATGGCATAATCATTTGTATGAAGAAAAAGAATATGAGGAAGTGAAGAAAAATGCCACGCGAATACATACCCAGAGGCGATTCCACTGACGCACGTGTGTCAGAGACATACTGATATCTATATATACAGGCACAGAGTCGAAATTTTATATATATATATATATATATATATATATATATATATATATATATATATAGAGAGAGAGAGAGAGAGAGAGAGAGAGAAATAAACAGATTGAGATAGAAATTAACAGATTGGGATAGATAGACATGTACTGACTGAGATAGATAGATAGATAGATAGATAGATAGATATGAACAGATTGACAGGGGTAGAAAATTAACAGATTGAAATAGATAGATAGATCGATAAACATGTATTGATTGAGATAAATATATAGAGAGAGATAGAAAGAAATGAATAGATTGCGATAGTGTTGTGGCCATGTTAGAGCCATAAATAAAGACACAAAGAGAGGTATTGAGTTAAATATATTAAGAGAAACAGTAATACAAACATATACAAACGAGAGTGTTACAGCAAAAATGTTCGGTGCGATTGTCAAAGCTGACTGCTGGAATCTTCCCACTCCAAAAGGCAGTACCTGCTCCTATTTATAGCTGGCAGTGTCCATGCGTACGTGAGTAAATTATCATAGATAGATAGATAGATAGATGGCAATGAACAGATTGAAATAGAGAGATAGAAAATAACAAATTAATGTAGATATATAGCTATATATCTATAGATAGAAATTAATAGTTTGAGATCGATAGAACTGTGCAGAAAATATCCGGTGACTATATGAAATAGTCCCTTACCATAAAGAGCTCCAGGTTAGAAGAAAAACTCGTAGTTGTCTGGCTTGCGACTGGACACGACCTCTCTCTTCCTACAGAGGATGACTCAGTCAGGACTTTGTCTATGAACAAAAACTCGGACGAGAAAAGCAGACAAATAAGATACCAGAGCCCGCTTTTGCAGGGGTTGGCTAAATTTTGACGATTTGCCCGAGTGGAAACGCTCAGTCTCCTCACAATCATCCCAACCTTGTGTCACCTCTCATCTCAGTGAGGATACTGTGTAAATACCTCGTCGTTTCGAGTAATGGCAGTTTGCTGTCTGGTTTGCGACTGACAGGAACTCTGTCTTCGTGCAGGTAGTGACTCGGTAGGGTTTCTGCTTACAGACAAAAACTCGGCGGAGAAAAATAACGTACCTGCGCCAGCTTTCGCTTTGGTTAGGTAATTTTTCACCATTGGGCCGAAGTGGATATGCTCGGGTTACTCACAATAATCCCAAACTTTGGTCATTTCACATTCCAGTGTGTGTGGAGAGAAATGGGTAAATACCTAGTAGTTTCGAGTCAGGTAGTTTGCTTTCTGGCTTGCGACTGATAGGATCTATGTCTTCTGGTAGAGAATGACTCAACCGGAGCATTGTCTTCGGGTAGAGTCTCAACTGAGAAAAACTGGTAAGACTTGCACAAGATCCGCGCTTGCGGCTCTGGGTAAATTTTAACCATTGGCCCGATGGACACACTCGGGTTACCCACAATAATCTCGACTTTACGTCGAATCCCGTCTATGTCGGGAGGCATGGATAAATACCCTACACGCAAGCCATCAATCTGCCACTGGAAGGCATGTCACTAGCATTTTCCCTTGGTGGCGCGCCGGCGTGATTTTTTCGGCAATGTAACCATTTGCGGACCGCTAGTGGCTCGCCGTTGGCTTGCCTGTGACTGCCACCAGAAGGATCGCTGTCAACGCCAGCGGCGGTCCGTTAGCGGCTTGCATGTAGGGTAACTAGCCGTTTGGAGTCAGGCAGTTCGCTGGCTGAGTTGCGAGTAACAAGACCAATCACTTCGTGCAGAGGGTGATTTAGTCTGGGATCTGACGTCGGATAGAGATTCGGCTGAGTAGATCCAAACAAGGTAACTGCCCGTTACCCGCGCTTACAGGGAATGAGAACGTTTTGCACCATCTTCCCGAGTGTACGTGCACGGGTTCCCCACCATAATCCTGACCTTGTGTCGCATGCCTTCTAAGTAGCGATGCCTGGGTGAATACCTGGCGGTTTGGAGTCGATCCACAGTTTGTTTACAGACCGTTTCTAGTCTTGCCACGCGCTCGACGTATTTTTTATCGCTAACCGATTAGAACTGATATTTTTGTGTTAACGGTCCGCCGATGGCAAATCTAGCAGTCCTTCTGGTGGCAGCTACCGGCAGACCATCGGTGAGCAACTAGTGATCCGCAAGTGGTAACATTGCCGAGACAAACACGCCAGCGGGCCACCAGGGGTAAATGCTAGTGGCATGCTATCCAGTGGCAGATGGATGGCTTGCGTGTAGGGTATTTATCCATGCCTCCCGACATAGACGGGATTCGACGTAAAGTCGAGATTATTGTGGGTAACCTGAGTGTGTCCGTCGGGCCAATGGTCAAAATTTAACCAGACCTACAAACGCGGATTTTTGTGTGTACCTGTTATAGTTTACGTGAATTTTATCCCTTACTTTTTACGTTTTATTTACTGGCTGCTTTTTTGTATGGAATTTTCGTTTAATTTTTGTTGCCAGTGTAACATTTAATTTCACTAGAATATTGATTCATTTTTTTTTGTGTGTAATTGTGTTTTAATTTTCAGTTTCATTTATTTTTCAGCCCCCGACCGTAAACTTATTTTTTTTATTTTTCTTCTCTTTTTACTTAATTATTTTTTTTGGTTTTCATTTTCTACCGTTACTCCTTTTTGTGCACTACATTTCATTTATTTTTATTTGTCTCCACCCAGCCGCATGTTATATTTTATCTGTTCTTATTTTCTTTTCATGTTAGTCGGCCATTTTCTTTGATTATTATTTTTTTACACGTGTCTCTATTTCTATATTTTTTCTTTTGTAATATTTATTTCATAAGTTGTTTATTTTGCTGGTTTATTTATTTTTTTAAATGGGAAACTCTGTTTACTTGTGTTTTTTATCCGTAAAATTATTCTTTTTATTTTTCACGTCAAACACCTTTTTTTTTCGCCTTTATTCGTTGTTAAATTTGTTTTGCTTTTCGAGGCGGACTTTGTTTTAATTTGTGTAACTCTTTTTTACGTCAAAACCCTTTTGTTACACCAGCTTGTGTCCGTTTTTTGTTTCATTGTCTTTGTATTTTTTTTATTGTTCCGTATCTGTTTAAGTATTTTTGTTATTTATTAATTGTTAAGAAAATTCCCTGCTTCTTCGTTAAAAAAGGTAAAAAACAAGAAAATTAATTCAAAGTACGCCAAAATAGGCGAAAAACATCGGTCAATTAGAAACAATTTGTTCGGGACGAAAAAGAAAGTCCCACCCTATAAAAAAAAAAATCAACAGTGACTACTGAGAATATAGCCATTGTCAAAGAAAAAACGCCAACCAAATAGATTTGAGGAAAAATATGGAAGCCAAAATCAAGAACTTCAATATCAACAACAGCAAAAGCAAAAGTAGTGGTCGGGAACTCGCCCTCTTGTTGTAAGTCCCCACCGAAGAGTATACTCAAGATGACGTAGTTTTTGGAGAGAGCCAAGAGCTACGAACATCTTATCAAAGAAGATGGCTCTTAGTAGACTTTCAGAAATAACGGAAGGTTGAAAAAAGAATTGTATCAGTCTTTGTGATTGACAAGCATTCGCACAAAATTTGCCGCTCCAAAACCAAAAAAAACAAACACCGGGATAAAATCATTGACGTTCCTAGGGGTTAAACCCAAAAGAGTTATAAGAGGCAAGGGATATTTCATGTGAGATGTACTGCTACCCACGCTTGCCGATTGTGAGGAAGCTTCTAGTCCATACATCACAAAAAAACTCACCATAAGAAATGAATATGAGGGTAGGCAGAGGACTATGTATCGGAAGTGACGTTCCTCCTCGGGTCTTATGGGAGCATTTGGCCGCTTGTTTGGATCAATTTCGGCAGATATTTAGCTTCCTCCGACGATCTGAATGTGTGGGTTTGACGGTTCGAATTTACGATTGACCATAAAGTGTTCACATCCATCGCCAACGGTCTGGATGCAGTGGGCCGGAAAATGCCGGTCATTGTGAGCGGCCGTAAACCCACCTGTTTGAAGTGTGGAGAGACTGGTCACCTCTTCTCTTCCTACTCAGAGAAGAAGGCCACTGCCGACCCAATTTCCCCTCTGGTCGAATTTGTTATTTCTGTCTCACCTGTGATGGACATGCCAACGATTGGGACCAGTGTGTTGAACACCCGGTTTGGTCCAATGTACGGCGACACCCTTTGCCCGAAAAGCGTTAGCAAGGCGATTCTGCAGACGCTGAGAAGGAAAAGAGGAAATGGCTGGTCGTTGACAAGACCGGGGGTGGAGGAGAAACTCTGGACAGCGGGAACTCAGTCCCCGGAATCCCCACAGGTAACGACACGTTAAATTCGACTCCCTCTACCAGCTCCAAGGGCGAAAACCCGGCCAACTACGCGGAATCAACCTGGAAAAAGCGTCTCGAGTACGAGCCAAGTTTTGAAAAGAAGGTAAAACTAGAAAGAGTAAAGAAACCCTTTAAAAACAAGTAGAATTCCTTTGTCAACAGTGCGAAAGATGGCCACCCCCTCTTCCTTGACATCGTTTTCCCCTTCAATTAAAAAGCATACCAAAATCACTGGCTCCAACCCGTTCCAAGATATCAAAAAGGTTCTTTCTACGAAATCACCAGCAAAAAGAAAGACCAAACCTTCCACTAATCCCAATTCATCTCTTGGCCATAAGCCAATAAATTCTACACACAAAGAAACCGTATAAACAAAAAAGGCAGCGAAGCCCTACATCTGACACCGCAGAATCTTATTAAATCGAAACCAATTTTTAACACTGGGGAAGATGTGTACCAACGGTTGAGACAGCTGGCGGGAAAAGAATTTAACACAAACAACAATGATAAAAGAAATAAACTATGTATTGAAGTCAACTCCATTGATATAGAATACTTGTGGAAAAATAAGGAAATTACCTGAGCTTATGGGACGGCCGTCGAACAAGGCACTGATATTTTTCATGATAGTTTTTCACCGAAAAGAATTGATGCGCGGGCCTTCTCTTTCTTATTTGAGTTCTGCATTCTCTTCCTTATATTTATATATATATATATATATATATATATATATATATATATATATATATAAATATCATCAAGTGATGGTGTCTAATCAAGTTATGGTGTTGAATGTAGAATGTAGATTCTACATTCAACATTATCACTTAATAAGTCACCAGAAGTGGTGGTACAAAATGGCTATTTTGGTAGAGATTTTATAATATGTCTATGTTATAATTTTCGAATAAATTATATTTGCTCTACTCAGCACTGAGTAGCCTTTAA